GACATCCAGCGTCATGTAAAACCCCATAGGAAAGCATTACACATGCTTTTATATGGGGGAAATACTAATGTGAGCGCGGCCATTGCCGCGCATGTGCATTAGGTCTCCACTGCCGGCTGACTTTGGCAGGGGAGGAGCAAAGGCAGAGCCCGAACCAGCACCGAGGGACATCGGTTCTGGAATCAGGTAAGTGACAGAAGGTGTTTTTTTTAACCCCTTCTGCACAGGGGAGAGGAGGGGGGCACAGGTGCACTATAGGTAGCTATAGTGTTCCTTTAACAATCTATTCCCTCCAGATTAGAGGCAGTGCAACATTAGGGATATCGTTTTCTCTTCCAGCAAGCCTTGTCTGATATACATGCATGCATTCATAAATCACTGTACTCTTAAATTATCTTGGGATAGTAACGATAAGTGACATTTGTATTCCCCCAGGATGTAAAACCAGAATTTCTTGCACTGAAGTCAGCTGATAAGAGGTTTTCAAGCAAGTTGTGGCAGTCTCCTTGCAAATGTTTTGTTAAGAAGCATCATCAAGGCTTCAGCAGTATGCAAAGGTTTGTCAGTCAATAGGACAGTTCAAATCCGATTTAAACACACCAATAAATCATTACTTATTACATTTTGTGTAATGTTTGAGCGCTTGTTAAAGCCATATCAACTATAAATGTGTTTGACAACTTTCAATATGATGCTTTTAACATGACTGCATAGTGTCAACTATACATTTTTGATGGTGGGGAAATGTGTTTTGATTTCTTGAGGTTTGGCAATATTTTAATGTAACTTTTTTTTTGTTATAGGCTAACGCATATTCATTTAATTATTTTTTTGATTGCTTGTCTCTTAATTTATTTTTAATAAATTACTGGCCTACCTTCCCTACTCCCACTTTCTGAACAGCCATATTCTTGCACCCTCGGCCAGATTATCTGATCCAAAGCTCACTATTTTGCAACTTTTCTTTTCAAAGTCGAGTACTCTTTTAGACCATTTTTATCCAATTTGTTGCATGTCAGGCAGAAAAAGCACTCCATTTTGAAAAGCAACTTATTGTTGTCAAATCTTAAGTAATGGGGCAGATAATAATCCAGTCAATAGGAGCAAGAAGATAGCTGTTCAGAAAGGGAAAGTTGGGAAGATAGGCAAGTGATTTCTTCCAAAAAAATTTATGTAAGTGCATTAGAAGAAAAAAAAACAAGAGATGGTATAACAAAGATTATAGTAAGATAAAATAAATAAATCTTGCTTTTCCTATTTCCTTTAATGTTCGATAACTGCAACTAATGTCAGGACAAATCCATGGGCCTTTTTATAGCTATGTATAACATAATATATTCTTGGTTATATTGTTATTCCATTATGAACGATACAGAATGTGTAGTTTTTATGGCACACTTTCTCTAGCCCATAACAATATGATCTTTAAAAGTAATCTCCCTAATTCCCATCAAACATTGGTAGAGTCCTGCAGCCACCAATTTAAAAATTCCATGTCAGAGTCCGATCTCTAAGGACAGTGTTGTTATGATAGAGACTGTCATTGTTTCCTATTAGTGCAAAGTGCTTAGAGCAATGGGGTTTATGTGGCTCTTTGACAATGTAAGCCTTGTTATAGAGTTCACAAAGGGTCAGATTCAATAGATTCATATACATTTTGCATTTGTTTTTAAAAAACGATTTGTCAAATCTGGGACATCTGCACAGCCCATTAGGTAACTAGGTATAGTTTCCTTTTTTTTTATTTATATCATTTGCAAGGCTGGGAAGGCACATGATATACCATGTAATCATGTAATGGTATATGCTCTCACAAGGCAATAATTGAGAAAGTGTGCGCATGTTGCAGAGCTACAACTCCCATGATGCTTTGCATGCTTAAGAATGACAAAGCATCATGGGAGTGTAGTTTTAAAACATCTGGGCATCTACCTACTGCTCTAAGTTTGTTCCACCCACACTAGAATTTCAGAGCTGGCTAGAAGCTCATGTGGAAGTTTTCCACATTGACTTCAAATTTCCAGTTACACTCCAATATTTGTTATTTCAGTTTTTTTCTTTACACTTAACATAAACTACCCATCTCTATGAGAACATTTGGACTGGAGATCTGTCCCAAATTATTCTTTAGGAGATGCATTTAAATTGCCAATGCCAGCAGTAACAAGGCAGTGAGTGCTGGGCATAAGGTGGTGGATCTACATTTAGTAAAAAAGTGCATTGACAGTTCTACAGTTAATAGAAGGTACATTGGAAAGCACTGCTCAAACAACATGCATCCCATAATAATTTGAAAGGGAATCATAATTTGTCTAATAATGACAAGAAGAAAACAGAGGAGAGTTACATGTCATGCTTCTTTTGCATTTTTTGTGTCACAATGTATTAAATCTGTTTTTCGCCTGTAGCTTCTTTTGCATCTGAACCATCATTTTTGAATGCATGTTATTTTTTTCCGTCAGCTCAACCGATTCATCAATCTTTTCATCACTTTTCCTCCATAAAAGAGTTCTGTTTCATTTCTCTTTTTTTCAGCACTATAAATTTGGTGGAAATTTCTCAAATGGATATTGCTGAGAAACATTACATAATTTAGCAAGAAAAAGCAGACTGTTTTTGTCCATTTTTAGAACAATTTAAAGGAACACTATAGGGTCAGGAATACAAATGTCTGTTCCCTAAAGTGGTAAAAAAATACATTTTATTTTTCCGGCCCCACCTTATACTCTTTAATTAGGGTTAAAATTACCTTTTTTCAGTGTCACGTTGGTCTACCAACACTGGCTCCGCCTCCCTGCTGAGATATTTAGAATTGACGATCTCAGCCAATCCAATGATTTCCTGTAGGAAAGCATTGGGGTTATTGCGCATGAATCAATGCATTTCTATGTAGAACGTTCAATGCCTTCATGCAAAGGCTCTGAACGTGTGCAGCACTGACCCAGGAATAAATAAAGAGGAAGCCATAGGGGCACAATAGGCACCAGACCACTTCATGTGAATGGCATGGCCTGAGCGCCACGCACCTTCCCCTCCGGTTAAACCCTGCAGCTAAGAAAATTGCATTATGCACAACTGTAATGTTTTTAAGTGCATCTAGAGGCTCTCTGGTGGCGCATCCAATGAAATAGCAGAGTAAACGGTCTGAAATGGTCTCAGAGAGGCAATCTCCATGGCATAGTTCGACATTTTGCCTACGGTAAAGTAATGGATTGGCTAAGATCATCAATCTGAATGATCTCAGCCAAGGAGGTGGGGCCAGACATGGACACTGGCGGGCAAGGGAGAAAAGGTCAATACTACACTTTCTTCTCCCAGCAGGAAACTATAGCATTAGAAATACACATTCCTGCAATCCTGGGAAGTGACAGTTACCCTTTCAAAAGCAAAGTTCATAAAAAAATGTGGAATATTTATGACTTAGGTCTTAGAAGATACTGTAGCAGGCACAATAAATGTGAAATAAAAAGGGAAGATGGCTATTCCCTCCAGCCTACAAAATGCATTGCCTTCGTGGCATCAGCACAGCATAGCACACAGCAGGCTAGCTCACACAGCATACTGTACACAGCAACCAAGCTCACATATCTTATAGCATACAGTGCACAGCAGCCCAGCTCACACAGCTAATATCATACAGTGCACAGCAGCCCAGCTCACACAGCTAATATCATACAGTGCACAGCAGCCCAGCTCACACAGCTAATAGCATACAGTGCACAGCAGCCCAGCTCACAGAACTCATACCATACAGTGCACAGCAGCCCAGCGCACACAGCTAATAGCATAGAGTGCACAACAGCCCAGCTCACACAGCTAACAGCATAGAGTGCACAACAGCCCGGCTCACACAGCTAATAGCATACAGTGCACAGCAGCCCAGCTCACAGAACTCATACCATACAGTGCACAGCAGCCCAGCTCACACAGCTCATAGCATACAGTGCACAGCAGCCCAGCTCACACAGCTCATAGCATACAGTGCACAGCAGCCCAGCTCACACAGCTATAGCATAGAGTGCACAACAGCCCGGCTCACACAGCTAATAGCATAGAGTGCACAACAGCCCGACTCACACAGCTAATAGCATACAGTGCACAGCAGCCCAGCTCACAGAACTCATACCATACAGTGCACAGCAGCCCAGCTCACACAGTTCCTAGCATACTGTACACAGCAGCCTAGCTCACAGAACTCATACCATACTGTATACAGCAGCTCAACTCACACAGCCCATAGCATACAACAACCTAGCTCACATAGCCCATAGCATACAGCAGCCCAGCTCACACAGTCCATAGCATACAGCAGCCCAGCTCACACAGTCCATAGCATACAGCAGCCCAGCTCACACAGTCCATAGCATACAGCAGCCCAGCTCACACAGCCCATAGCATCCAGCAGCCCAGCACACACAGCCCATAGCATACAGCAGCCCAGCACACACAGCCCATAGCATACAGCAGCCCAGCACAGCAGCCCAGCACACACAGCCCATAGCATACAGCAGCCCAGCTCACACAGCCCATAGCATACAGCAGCCCAGCTCACGCAGCCCATAGCATACAGCAGCCCAGCTCACGCAGTCCATAGCATACAGCAGCCCAGCTCACGCAGCCCATAGGATACAGCAGCCCAGCTCACGCAGCCCATAGGATACCGCAGCCCAGCTCACGCAGCCCATAGCATACAGCAGCCCAGCTCACACAGCCCATAGCATACAGCAGCCCAGCTCACACAGCCCATAGCATACAGCAGCCCAGCTCACACAGCCCATAGCACACAGCAGCCCAGCTCACACAGCCCATAGCATACTGTGCACAGCAGCCCAGCTCACACATTTCCTAGCATACAGTGCACAGCAGCCCAGCTCACACAGTTCCTAGCATACTGTACACAGCAGCCCAGCTCACAGAACTCATACCATACTGTATACAGCAGCTCAACTCACACAGCCCATAGCATACAACAACCTAGCTCACATAGCCCATAGCATACAGCAGCCCAGCTCACACAGCCCATAGCATACAGCAGCCCAGCTCACACAGCCCATAGCATACAGCAGCCCAGCTCACACAGCCCATAGCATACAGCAGCCCAGCACACACAGCCCATAGCATACAGCAGCCCAGCTCACACAGCCCATAGCATACAGCAGCCCAGCACACACAGCCCATAGCATACAGCAGCCCAGCTCACACAGTCCACAGGATACAGCAGCCCAGCTACAGCAGCCCAGCACACACAGCCCATACAGCAGCCCAGCTCACAGCAGCCCAGCCCACAGCATACAGCAGCCCAGCACACATACAGCAGCCCAGCACACATACAGCAGCCCAGCACACACAGCCCATAGCATACAGCAGCCCAGCTCACACAGCCCACAACATACAGCAGCCCAGCACACACAGCCCATAGCATACAGCAGCCCAGCACACAGCTCAGCATAGCACAGCATACAGCAGCCCAGCACACACAGCCCATAGCATACAGCAGCCCAGCTCACACAGCCCATAGCATACAGCAGCCCAGCTCACACAGCCCATAGCATACAGCAGCCCAGCACACACAGCCCATAGCATACAGCAGCCCAGCTCACACAGCAGGAGGAGGAGGAGCAGTATCTCTGGGAGCTGCACAGAGAGCACAGTGTCACACACAGACACATTGCCCCCTCTCACTGCCACTGGGGAGGGGACGTGGGGACTTGTCCCGTGTAACTGACTAGCCAAGAGAAGCCAAAACAATGTCGGAGGTCAGAAAATTCACCAAAAGGCTGAGTAAGCCTGGGACTGCCGCAGAGCTGAGACAGAGCGTGTCCGAGGCTGTCAGGAGCTCCGTTATCATGGTATGTACAAACATCTCCCCTCACCACCTCCTTTTACCAGCGTATTATAGGGCACCCAATGTCGGGGATCTACACCCTACCATTTGTTTAAATACAGCCCTCCAGTTCATGCTGAACTTCCCCTACCATCACTAGGAGCTGGCTGTTGCTGATGGGCTTTAGAGTCCATCACAAAGGGCATGTCCCTAGCTGTGCCGTTTGATGAACATTCCCTGTTGTATTGCCCCAATTCATCGGGGTATCAGTGAGTTGCATAGCGACCCTCCTGCCCCTGGGCTGACATGTGGCCAGTAGATGAGTGTACAGGAAGTTTGCTAACATTCTATGTCAGTTATTCAGAACTCAGGGCTGAGATCTCTTGGAATTGTCTGGTGTCAGTGGGGGATACAGTGTATTCTTTTTCCCCATCGAGGTCTTGTGACGATCCCACTGGATACAGGAGCTGGACAGCATCATGCCCTGTGATCCCTGGCGGGGAAACACTCCTTATGCACTTTACACAGCTTTGTTGTTGCTGATGGTGGTAGCCACACCCTGACTTACTGAGCTGATCTGTGAAGAGATGCTCAGCTGGCCACTTACCTGCCATCTTCTGACTTCCTCACCCCTCACTGCTGTCAAGTTCCCCTCTTAGGCTGCTAGTTATTTCTATCAAGTGTTATAACTGCTGTCCCTTCCCCAAAATGTCATTGTCATCCTTCCTAGTGTCTGCACTGTTCACCTTCAGTAACTGGCATTGATTATAGACATACTACTTTATAACGTTCTTTGCAAACAGATTTATTTATTATTATTATTATTATTATTATTACTAGAGTATTTGAAATCCAGGAGGACCGTGTATATCTTGTTACATAGTTATTGTATTTGTAGTGTGTGATAGTAACTAACTTACTTCCTGTTCATACTGATTATGGCATTAACCCCTTTTTTGCCTTTGTGCATTGCATTACGATGATGTATGGACCTTTTGTATGTTTGCCCGTTTTACGATGGCTCAGAAGCTTGTGAGTTACATTCCCCATGATAATCAGAGAGCCTAGGGGGGATCTAGTTCACACACATCATGGGGGTCATGTTAGTCCATCTTAGTGCTGTATGGGGCATATAACCCAGGGGATCCAGTGACTTTTAGAGGTGATGGTGTTTGAAAGGAGAAGTTGAACAAATTCTTGTTTTAAGCCACCTGTCATGTATTACTATAATAACAGATCTACCTCTGCCATAGTCTCCAGAATTACTGGGGTTGGGTGTGTCATAAAGCAAGAACCTGATTGAGTATTTAATATTACCAAAAGCAATAACCAGGCACCGAATACGCAGGAAGGATCAGAATGAGCATCATGTAAAATCTACCCAAAACATATTAAGCTAGGTGCATGTTATGAAAACAAAACAATACACACAAAAAACCCCAAAAAACACTTGCACTCCAGTTGCAACTGCTAAGGGTTTACTGACCGAACCCCATTGTAATGATCTGGAAGCACATTGTTGGCTACAATAGCTATACATTCCTTTATATCAGCTACTGTTGCCTAAATATTGTAATTCAGTTTTCAGTTCACTATTGTTTTCAGTTTTGTGAATAAAACCCCCTATCGTAGGCTTCTTCTTCCTAGAGGAAGTGGTGAGACACTGAGGTAGCAGTAGATTAGAGAGGAGTCATCTTGCTGAATTGAGCAAATGGCGACTTCATACCTGCTTAAAATGCTATACTCAATGTGAATGGAAGCCCTCAATGAGTAATACTCATTCATTTCTTCACGTAAATGAAAAGACACTTTGTGGGTATTCACTTAAGTGATAAATTAAAATGTAAAATTATATAAGGCAGCTACAGTATTTCACAAAAGTGAGTACATGCCTCACATTTTTGTAAATATTTTATTATATCTTTTCATGTGACAACACTGAAGAAATGACACTCTGCTACAATGTAAAGTAGTAAGTGTAAAGCCTGTTTAACTCCTAAATGACAGAGAATTGAGCAGTGAGACTACAGGGGCATGATTTATACACCAAAACTGCTTTTTTGAGCTAAAGTTGTTTTGGTGACTATAGCGTCCCTTTAACACATAACAGGTAATACATATATTCAACCATGACAGGTGCATTCTGTATTGAGGTATGTTGCCATACATCTCTTAACAGATTTTAGATTGAATGAAGATTTGACTGTGTCCCTGAGGTTATTCCATAATTGCGGTGCTCTGTAGGAAAATGAGGATCGAGTCACTATATTTTTGTATTGCGGTATTCTAAATATCGTTCTAGTAAGGGCTTGGAGTTTATAGAAGGTGGGAACAGCTGGGGAGAGCATTCTACTCAGGTAGTGTGGGAGCGTCCCAGAAATGCTCTTGCAATGCAGGAGCATACACTACACCCCCATAATCAATGACTGGCATTAGCATTTGTTGCACTATCTGTTTCCTTACTTTACTATAGGTCTTAGGCAGGATTTGTTTTTGTACAGGGCACCTAGTTTTGGATAATGTTTTAAGGAGATTTTTTCAATGTGAAGGCCAAAGGATAGATTGGGGTCTAACAACATACCTAGATATTTGAAAGAACAGACTGTGATCAGCGTGCTATTTGAATTTGTTATGGTACATATTTGGGGATTTTGTAATTTATGTCATTTAGGTACAGTTCCAAAGATCATGGTGACCGTTTTGTCAGTGTTTAGGAAGAGTTTGTTAACCGCAATACTCTTTTATACCTCTGCAAACTGGTCCTGGAGTGAAGATTACAGTGTCATCTGCTGCGTACATGTGTACAGTTGAGGCTTTGCAGACACTAGGTAGATCATTTATAAGTAATGTGAATAGCAGGGGGCCGAGTATGGAGCCTTGGGGAACTCCACACGTGACTGGGAGAGAAAGGGAGGCGCTATCAGAAATGGTCACATATTCGCAATCGTTTTGATACAAATGATATGTATTATTTATCTAATGTACCAAGTGACGTGGGTGTTGAATTTACCCTCTAGTGTCTTTTTAAGCACCAGGATGATGTTCTCAGGAATAGTACAGAACTGACATTATACTAAACCAATAGCTTTTATTCCTGCTTCCTATATTGAAAGCGGTGTTGCACTTTGTAGGTTTTGGAAAACTGAAAAAAAAAAAAATATCATGACAGTGCAGCTTTAATAAAACAAATATCAGGCAGTCATAGTGAATATGTCTGGAAGAATAATGCAGCGACTGACATGCAAAACCAACACTTGAAAATATATTAATTCTATCTCTCTATCTATCTATCCGTCCATTCCTGTCTGTCCGTCCGTCCGTCCGTCCGTCCGTCCGTCTATTTCTCACATATCTTAAGTTGGACTTTGGGAAGTTCTCCTTGGATAGAGAAACTCAAGAAATAATGTTTCCTTCACTATCCTAGAGTTCCCAGCTGACATGAAATTAGCACCAACAGGCATCATGTTTCAGACTTCAAACTGCATCTCTGCTGGTACCCTTAGCTACACAACTTTTTTAAACCAAAGCATGGGATATAATCCAAAAGGACCAATTACCAGAAACCAGCTAGTTTTGACCATTAGGGTGTCATAAGAATTGCAGCAGTTCTGGTCTAGTTAAAGTCTCTCTGAGTGCGTATGGCTACGTGCAAAAAGCTTGTGGTGAGACCAAACATGATAAATCACCCCACAGTGTGAATAGCCCATGGGGGGCTTCCCAAAGTCTAACCTGAGATACACAGGACATGTACAACAGTAATTCGTTAATTCACAGATCAATTGAGAAAAAGTTACCAATATCGGTTATATATTTATTAAATGTACTTGTAGAATATCTAAATATCAATTTTTCTTTTTTTTTTTTTTATCTGTTTCTTGTGTTTCCCTCTGTTGCTCACTTGTTGCTTAATCTGTGGATAAAGTCAACATGTAATGGCTGTCCTCTTGCCATCAATCATCTTTTTCCCATCATCCTTCTCTTTTTTTGGTGCCGTGAGCAGAATTTTGAATCATGTACCAACGAACATGCTCATTCCTTTGTGTGAGTAGTTTGTTTTGTGATTAGTCTTTGTGGTGGTTCAGTAATAGGAATTTGTTTGTTCTCCCAATTGGCCCAAATTTGGACAAATTGCATTTTGTAGCAAAACGAATATCTAGTGAATATACTCATTAGTAGTGTGTCTGACTGTATTAGCATTAAGCTATTAGATTAGTGAACATCACAACAAACACAGTTTACTCAGAAAACATACAATTTAAATAACAATCTGAGGTGTGGTCAGAGCCAGTGGGACATGCTTAGAATTAAGTCATATGAGAACAATGTGACAAAAACTTGTTTCCAAAAATGTTGCAATCAGCAGTTTAGGCATTTCATGTAAAGGAAACTGTGCTTGTTA